GGCCGGGCTTCACCCTGCGAGGCTGGGTCGGTGGTTACGAGGGGGGTCGCCGAAGGAAATGGCTCAGCCCGCACGTCTGTCTGTGTCTGACAGCCTCGGGTTCTGTGCAGCAGCAGTAATTACAGAGATGCAAAGGGACGCTCATTAAATTACTTTTAGGCTAGATCCACCATGCTTCTGTCCCATCACCGACTGCGCTTTGGTTTGTGGCCCGCTGGTGCTTTTTTAAAATGGAGTTCAGGTGCTTTTCTTCAAATAGTAAAGGAGAGAGGGAGCAGAAAACATATTAACGGCAGGAAAGGTAGATTTGTGAACTGCTGCTTAAAAGAAACAACATTTCATGCGTTGCCATGTCTGAAGATGCGTTATTGGAAGAGGACATTTGGGAGTACAAATCCATTAGGAAGCAAAAGCATCAGAGTAATTCAGAGAGCACCTCAACACCTGTGCGGAAAATAAGCGATGGCAAGAGCAGGGCAAAAAGAAAGAGAACTGGAAATAAAAAAAAATCCGTAGAAAAACATGATACGCTTCAGAAAACCGAGCAGAGATCAAGGCCAGGGCAGGATGCAGATCAATGTCAAGATGACAGCAGCGTGCACTCCCAGGACAGCGTGAGTAGCCTGACAGAACAGAGCTCCCCACATGCAAAGCCTGTCCATGACGGGCACTGTCCGAGCTGCCAGATGCCTTTCTCTTTGCTGCTGGTCCAGACACCTCGATGGCACGTTGCTGAATGTTTGGATACTCCAGGATCCGCTGAAAAAGGTATGAATAGAGTAAGAAAAAAAGCCTTCAGAAAACAGTTAAAGGATTCTCACGTCATTTTTCTGTAAACCTTGGTTTCCATATTTAGTTCAAAATCTGAGAAGGTGGTTGGTATGATTTTTAGAATTTTATCACTGATCATTTAGAAGTATTATTTTTGTATGAGACTTCTAGTTCTTTGTGAAGAACATGGAAATCTGACATGAAAATCTCGTATCAGAATCTGATCTCAAAACTTTATAGAGTAATGGTAAAGGTTAATGGTTGTTTATCAAGTTCCAGTCTTAGTAGTTGATTGAAGAAATCGAAGGTGCATATTTACCATTTTAAAATAATGGGACCTGTTTCAATTACTAAGTCAGTGTCAGTTAAAAAACCTTCTTCAGTTAAGAGGCTGCTGCTTTTGATGTGGAATTTCTTTCTCCATAGGTATAAATTTTAATATCCCATATTATCCCGCTGTGTCATTTTTCCAGTTGCCTGGGGACAGTTGGAAGCTGAAATCTGTCTGTTATCCTAACTTACTTGAAATTTTAGGCCCTGATCCAGTATGCCTCAGAAGTTTTATACAGAATTATACATGAACATTCCTATATCATAAGGCAACACAGTTTTGTTTTGAGTTCTGTACAAGAGGAATAAAACTGACTTGGAATTCCAATTGCTAGTTTCATGTGGAGAAATATCACATCTGAACAGATCCGGGTATCCAACTTATGTTCTTAACACACCTCATAACTTTTGAAAAACAGAAAGCACACAGTCAGGAAACTTGAGAAAAGGCAGTTTTAGGTAACACAGTTACTTTCCTTTTTATGTCTTTGTAACTTTCATTGAAGTTTCTTCTTTAGAACAGTGAAAGGTGAGTCCTTTAATACTGATTTTGGCAGTGGTTTTAACTTGAGGCAGATGTGTTAACACCTTATTTGCATCTCTTACTCCCATAATTAACAGATGAATAATCATTCTGATTGATCTGGGCATTCATCTTAAAACCCTCAAAAGTGAGGCTAGCGAATTTTCAACAAAAAAGACTTGGGGAACAGCCACAGATTTTTGTGCTGGCATCTCAATCCTGCATATTTTTTCACATAAATAAATACATGACTGGTATTTTGTTTTGTTTCTTTGATTTACTGCGTAACCCAGCAAACAATTTGAAATGGAGTTTCAGGTTGATTCAGAACCAAGATTTGGTTTATTTTGAAACATGTTTACCGGTCTTTTCTGGTGCTACTGCTCTGAGCTCAGTGCTTGCATGTGAGACAGTTCGAAACTAGAAGCCATATGATTACATCAGCACATCATTGGAACAGAGTTAAGTTCTCTTGTTGTTAGAGGGCTGTGTTAATTCAGGCTTCGTGCTGTATTAGCAGCAGCTGTTTGGTTTTGGGTTGGAAGCGTTCTCATTTCTTGCCAACTCAGGGCAGGAGGTCTTGCTGGCTTGAAAATTACTTTTTACTTGTGCCTTCTGTCCTCCAATAGTTGTACTTATAAGAAAAAGCTGTTAAATTGTGTGTGTCATATGTGATTTTTATTTTCACAGAATCACAGAATGTTGGGGCTTGGAAGGGACCTCAAAAGATCATCCAGTCCAATCCCCCTGCTGGAGCAGGAACCTAAATGAGATCACACAGGAAGGCGTCCAGGCGGGTCTTGAATGTCTCCAAAGAAGGAGACTCCACACCCTCCCTGGGCAGCCTGTCCCAGTGCTCTGTTATTTTAATAATTATGCCAACTATATTTGCAAAGGTATTAGCATTACTTCTCTGTTTAACTCTTTTCATAGAGTGTCCTGATGGTTTGCTGTGCACTTCCACCATTCCATCTCACTACAAGCGTTACAGCCATTTCCTACTTGCAGCAAGCAGGGCAGGAGATTATCTTGTAAACTCTTCAGCAAACACTTTGGAGAGGAAGATGACATGTTCTACTGCAGCAAAGCCCAGCTGTTCCCCAAGTCATGTAGAGGAAATCTCACAGAATGAGAAACCACCTAATAATGGAAAAAATGTCCCGAATGATGACTGTACATTGATGGTACGGAGTTCACCACAATTGAAGTCTCTAAATATTATCAGTGAAAGCGCTTCCTCTTTTGCAGATGTTCAAAAGCCTCAACAGACATTTCAGCTTACAAAGACCACGGATAATAGTTGTAAATTCGAATTTTATGACTTTGCATCCTCTCAAGGAAGTGGAACAGGAGAAGATCTGTGTAATCAGAAAGATACAAATCAGCCAAGTCTACTACAGTCAAAAGCGGACTTCAGTGACTGTGAAATTTCTTACTCTCCACTGAGCACTTTTGAGGAAACTGAAGAGGAAAATGAGGAAGAGGAGAGGAAAGTAAAAATATCACAAAATAAATCACTCAAGGCCTGGAACTTTGAAGTTGAAGAATCTAATTCTGCGGTGTCTAAAACATTTGATGGACTTCTCTCACAGCAGAAGCCTCAGTCTGAGCCTACCAAAATGGGAAATTTCATAATTAAAAAAAAACACTGTGAGGAAGTAAATACATTGAACCATCTAGGTCATAGTGTAAAAACTGTTTCTCAGAGTCACATGAACAGCAAGTTCTGTAATTCAACATGTGTAGATAATCAGCATTTGCAAGAGGTGCTGGCCAGTGGATCTTCTTTACCTTTTAATTGTGAGGAGGTTGAACAGCCAGAATTTATTTCCTCTGCTGCTAAGGCAGGTAACACAGAGTCAGAAGACACTGGTGCTTGTGCTTTGGATTCTGCATACATGAGTTTTACTGAGACATCATCGCTGCTAGTCAGAGAAGATGCTAGGTCTTTTCTGACACAGAAAAGTAGTGTTTTGCAGGACTCAAGTACTGTTTTAACTAATGCAGATAAAATGACTACCAATGCAATTGAAAAAACAGCTTGCCAGGAGAGTTTGCAAGCAGTAGTGGAGAAAGAAGGAAATCTTAATGCAGCAGCTGTGTGCTTTCCCAGCCCCAACTCTAAAACAGTACCATCTCTTTCTTTAGCAAGTATGAATGCCAAATCCAGTTCTGCCAAAGAACTCAAACAAATGGACATTGGTGTTTTCTTTGGGTTAAAACCCAAAGTAAAAGAGGAAAGCAAAGGAGAGACGTGTTTGAGTGAGGGAAAGCAGATATCAAGTTCAGTAACTCCCAATGGAAAGAAGCCCAGACGGCAAAAAAGGAAAGCGGAAGGGTCTGTGGAAGATGTAGAAGAGGTTGCAGAAAGTTCAAATACAAATGGAGCCTTTGCAGATGTAAGTTCTGGTGGCCAGCAAAGGTGGAGAAAAAAATATAAAGAATTACCTACTACAGGTGAAGGAACAAGAAAAAAACACTGCCCTTTCTACAAGAAAATACCAGGTGAGAGGTAGCTGTTGCTTTTTGTAGAGGTTAACTGATTTTGGCTTGAGTGTTGTATTTTTTTTTCCTAATTTTAAGCTTCAGTATTCTTCACTTTTCATAACCATTTAGACTGTAGCTCATAATGAATTTTCTTTCCTCCCTCTAAATTGATAAAATATTGTGTAGGTGCAGATCTCCAAAAGAAGGTGATTGCAGAACTAGAGTCAGCAACAGCTGAAAATGGTGAAATAGTTATCTCAGGAAAATTATTTAAAGGACTGACTTCTGAATGGTTTTCACAGGGCAGAAAACATGAGCAGTATTGAAAGATGGATCTACTTTCTTAAATGATTTTGATTATATCCTTTGTTAATATTCACTCTTAATTGCTGAATTTAATCTTTCACACTGCTTCAGCTGTGCCTGAAAATAGGGCTGTCAATAGCAGTTATTTCCTGACACTAAGTTAAAAGAATGTTTAATTTTGCATTTGAAATTCAGTTGTATTAGAAAAATGATTACTACAACTGTAAAAACAAAGAAATGAAAACCAGAGGAGTTTAGTTAAGGAAACAGACAAGAATTTCTCAGAATCTCCTCAAGCAATTACATAAATTACAGGATGGTGGATCAGCGGCTTTAAAAGCTTCAGAGCCTCACAGTTCTGTTTACCACGAAAGGACTGTCTTGGTCTTAGGTAGATATTTGAGGAAGCCAAATAGAAGTATATTAGTGATCCTAAGCGCCAAGCTGCTGCTTGAAGACTGACCTGTAAGTCTTTGTGGGACTACACCACTATCATGGGTTCCATGGGCTTAGAGAATTTTCCATATATAATAAATTTGAAGAACAGCCTCCTGTGCCTACAGTGCAATTTTAAAGTTGCTTCATTATTATTCTTATTATCTTTGTTCTGAATTTTGTTGCTACATTTGAAATATATTTGACTGTATCGCTACTGATACTTATTTATCCCCATGGCCTAGTATAATTCAGCCTCTCAAAGTTTTGAGTCTGATTTCTCTCAAACACTTGGGCATTTTTTGGTTTGTGATTTTTAATTATCAGACTGCTATGGGTTTTTTTTGGAGTTACAAATATTTGAAGTTCTAGCCTCAGGTAAGTAGAACTATTTCTAATTCTCCTGGAAGATCTGGGGAATATGCGTAGCATAAAATGAAAACTACTTGAGTGCCACCAGATGAATTAGTTCTGTGCATTATTTGGTGGTTTTAAGAAAGTATAACCCAATGTGAAAGGACCATTGATAAGTATGTTTGTATGTTTAAAAAATTACATTTGCAGAGAAAGGGCTACGTTCTCTACAGCTGTCTTTGTGCAACACCTTTACACAAACAGCACCTCACTGAAAGCAGACAATGGCAAATCAGACACCTTTCATCTCAGCAGATATATTTGAAGACCCCAGAATACTTGCTTCATAATTATATGGTAGCATGTTTTAATATTAAATGCAGAATAATTGAAAAATTGCAGCTTGATTGCAAAATGCATTTTGTTAAGATGAGGTTACCTGTTTTATTTTGTGTTAAGACATTGGTATTAGATTTTAATCTGTGTGAACTTTCAAAAATATCAGCTGAATGCAAATAAATGTGTTTTATTTGCTTAACCAGTTGCTGTCTGTGTAGGATGACAGCTGAACAACAAATAATTTGGGAGGCCTGTGGAAGTGTTTGTGTGTGGACACTTTGTTAAATTTTTATTTTAATAAGTGAAAATCTTTTTCATTACTGTTGACTCATATGCAACCTATGCTCATCTTTAAATGGCTCCTTCAACTGTATGCAGTGCAACTGTATTATTACCTTTTAATTTGGAAGAAAGAAAAAAGAAGAAAAGGAACATCTAATTAGAAACTAGTTCTGAACTACACATGTTTACTGACTGGCTTCTCTTCCCTTTTTGCTGTAGGAACTGGTTTTACAGTTGATGCCTTCCAGTATGGAGAAATTGAAGGCTGCACAGCTTATTTCCTTACTCATTTTCACTCTGATCACTATTGTGGACTAACAAAAAACTTCATGTTTCCAATCTACTGTAATAAGGTAAGGTTCTCCAAGATTGGTAGGTATTATCAAGTCCATATGCAACTATAATAACTTTTACACTGATTAAAGTAAGTAGAAGATCAGAGGTTCCCCTTGTTGGGTCAGTTAGGCACAGTGGATATATATAGGATATATATATAGGGGAATCTGGTTTTTCCTTGTAAGAAATTCCTGCCCTGATTTAACTGATGAAGATGATGAGTGAAACTTCTCTGTTTGAATACCATGAGAAAATTCAGGTTTCAGAGGATCTCTAGAGGTCCTATAGTCTGATCTCCTGCACGATGCAGTTGTAACTGCAGAGTTAGATCAGACTGCAGAGAGTCTTTGTTGGTCAAATTTTGGAAATAGGACAGATTCCATTACACCTCCTCACAGCCTGTTGCAGTGAATGATAATTGAAATGTCTGTTTTTGCAACTGGAGGCTGTAGCTTGTTCTTTTTGTGTGGATCATGGAGAAGAATCTGGCTCCATCTTGTCTATAACTCTGTTCAAGTGATGAAAGTCTGAAACTAGATTCCACTTGAGCCATCTCTTCTTCACATTCAGTAAATGGAGTTGTTTTAGCCTGGTCCTGTGTGTCCTGTGTTTCAGGCTGATGAATGGCCAAGACTGCCATTAGCTATCGTATGTCCAACCAACTCGTTACTCATAACATGGTAGGGCAGCTTGCCTAATCAACCTGTCCAGAACCTGCATCAAAAATCTATTTCTGATTTACTCCAGAAGCCTCCAGGAATGCTTGTGTCCCGTGTTGCCCTTCCAGTAGGTGTTGGGGTGACTGGAAATTTCTTCAGCTGTTTAAAGAAGGCTTTCCCCACCTCTTCTTCTTGACTTGGCAATCGGTAACAGATGCTATTCCCCCTGTCTGCCTGCTCTCTGATTCCAGTCCGTAACCTGATGACAGGATTTTAAAAATTTGCTTTTTTAAGATAGCTTTTTTTTTTTTTCAGTTTTCTTTTTGAGAAACGAAATGGTACTGAAAGGCTTGATTATATGCAGGATCTCATAGTTTCTCTGTAAACCAGACAGTCTGGCTTGGAGAGCCTTTGTTTCTAAGATAAACAAAGCCTTTTTTTAGATTTTGTTCCTATTCCATATTAAATCCTTTCCCTGTTACAGATAACTGGCAACCTGGTGAAGAGCAAACTTCGAGTCAAGGAGCAGTACGTCCACGTGCTGCCAATGGACACAGAATGTGTAGTGAATGGGATCAAAGTGTTGTTGCTCGATGCCAATCAGTATGTATCACTGCATTTGCTGTGGAATATTTGTATGTGTAGAATATTAAAGATGAATAGCTGTGCAGATACAGTTCATGTTTTCATTATTTTTATATAATAATTCACATTTCTGAGTTGGCTTAGTAACGTGCATTTTCACTTCAGAAGTGAATTAGGCATGTAGGAGCCTAAATTTCTTTGAAGTAGTTAGCTTTTGAAATAGGTTAATTATTTTTGAAGGTGAAACTTAGGCTTGTGACAATTTTAGCTTAACTTTATTTTTTTGTTGTTGTAATGAGTCCCTAGTGTTAACTGCACTTAGCTCTATAATTTTTAAGCTTGTTGAGAGGTTGAATGACTTTTCTAGTCGTCTGGACACTTTAGTTTTTGGTGTCTAGTTGGGAACATCCCAGATTTGATTATCAGATATGTTAGGTTTCTGTAGCTTCAACTGAAGATAGTGAAATCTTCAGCTAAAGAAAAATGTGGCCCTTTGGATCCCAAGAGAGACAAAGCCTAGCCAACATTTTGAAAACTGAACTTTAAAGAAAAGCCTGTTGAAATGTGCAACAAGACTTCTATTGGATTTGGTGATAAAGGGTGAGGTTTTTGTCCAACATGGCACTGGCACTGTGTGATAATGCTGCATCTGGAGTTCAGTAGCACCTGATTTCCAGCCCTGTGCTCTTGCCCTTCTGCCTCTTGGTACCTTATTTGGCTATGGGCTAGAGGAAAAGTCCTTTCTTTCCCTGAAGTGTATATTGAAATGCAACACTGTGTCACAGCTGGTTTGAATATTACTTATCTTAGGATTTGTTTATAGTTGGAGAGATAAGATTCCATGAAGTCCTTTGAGAACCCTTTCTGGGAATGAAAGAAGACTTGTTGCTTATGTAATTTGGACACGTCTCATTTTTCCTGTTTGTCTCTGATCCTCTGCTTCAATTTAAAAAGGCATATAAACCTTAGGTACAAAGTTCAACTTTTTGGAGAGTTCACCAATTCTGTCATTTTAGCTCTGATTCATGCCAAGTTTTTCCTTTTTTGAGATTTCATTTACCCTTTACAGATGATTCATGTCCAAAATAGTCCCACTCTGGTTTTCCAGTCTGAGCACTTACCCTTCAGACAGCTCTGGCGAGGAACTGCAGAAGGTGCAATGGATTTGCTGTGCCAAATAAAGAGAATTGTATTCATAACCAGGGAATTCTGGATGGAGGATAATGTTTAAAATCTGCAAATAGAACTTAAAAAGAAAGGCTTCAGTAAGTCGTGCAGGAATTAAGATAGATTTGCAGTAATACAATTGTGTTTCTCCCGAATAAGGATGCTGCTTCTCTTTGGTGAGCTGTTTTTCCTTTAAATCAAGTAATAGAACCTCAGAGTTTGCAACTGAGGCAACATTTTTGTCATATCTAGAATACCAAGCATCTCAAAAAGGCAGTTAATGCTTGATTACTTTGCTGTTGGTGTGGTTTTTTTCTTCCCTACATCTCAACTGAGAACTCAAGTTTAGATTGTCTGTGGCCGTAAGCTTAGCTTTAGAATTCCTTTAGAAATTGGGACTTTCTAGCTAAATCATGCTGCATACTAGTTGTTATTTAAAAAGCTGTTCTGCACACCTTCCTGCTACTGCAGGGTGGTTTATCTCGTAAGGCAGTTTATCAGTATAGAGAACTAACATAATTTGTATGGGTTTTTTGTTTGTTTCAGTTGTCCAGGTGCAACAATGATCCTTTTCTGTCTACCAAGTGGAACTGTTATTCTGCACACAGGAGATTTCAGGGCAGATCCTTCTATGGAGCGCTACCCTGCTTTGTCTGGTCGACAAGTCCACACCCTTTACCTTGATACCACGTATGTTGTGTTTAATATTTTTTTTAATATAACCCTCTTTTCAGTTTAGTAAGACTTTATATGAACCAAATAAATGTAAGTGTAAATGATATTACTGTTTTAACACTTGTTAGCTCTATATAGTGTTAGATAAAATCAGATATTTATTGAATGTCTATGTATGTCTAACTTGTTCATCCGTTATGCTGTTACATGAGAGAGAATAAAAGTGGGTGGTGGAAAAGGTGCTAAAATATTTGCTGAGATGACCTCATTATTTATAAGTGGCATTAAATTCTGGGTGTTAAAATCCATGTATTGTGTTGAGCTCTAAAACAAGAGGTTCATTGGTCTTAGATGTATTCAACTCTGTTATGAAAAGGGATGTGGGGGAATTTGGAGTGAAAGAATGCCAAATGATTAAGTCAGTGGTCCAGGTTTTCATTAGACCTTTCTCTGACTCATGTATATAAAATTGTTTTTCTGTGTACGATGACTAATGCCCAGCTGCAGGCTTTTATTTCTGTTCCATATGTTTCTGTGAATGAATAATGCCTTATGTTATGGTTTGTATGCATGACAAAAAATAGACATGAGGATGTAATTAGTACGTGATACAAATATCTAGCTTGAAAGAGCACTTGGTATTTATAGAGAAAAATCTGCAGAATTGAGAGTCAGTGTCAGACAAGTGAAGTTGTAGAGAAAAGACTGATATAGTCAATGTAAATTTTATTGGAACAATATCATCTGGGCACCTCAGTGGTTTCTAATAAATAAATTTCAAGTAGATTGAAATTCTATAGAAGGATAGCTTCTTTTTCATAATTTTTTTGATTTTATGCATGCAGTTTTGAGGACCTTCTTGGTAAATTCAGATGTCTTTTATCTTGCGTAACAAAGTGGTATATCTTGTTTCCATGTCCCAGATACTGTAGTCCTGAATACACTTTTCCTTCTCAACAAGAGGTTATCCAGTTTGCTGTCAATACCGCCTTTGAGACAGTGACTTTAAACCCACGTACTCTAGTTGTCTGTGGCACCTACTCCATTGGAAAAGAAAAAGTTTTTTTAGGTAAGTAAAAGAAGCATACTGGATCAAATAACACCGACTTAGATAATTAATTTGTTAAAAGACCCTTTTCTTGAAGAGGTAAAGGATCAGTTAGTCTTGGTGGTCAGATATTGTGTAAAGAAATTAAATATATTTAATAATCCTATTGCTAGCTTTTTAGTTTTCTGATCAATAAAATTTAACTTTCTAAAAGAAATATTTTTCTGACATGTTTACAAACCCCCCAAATATACAGAAGACCAATTTGAATACTAAATTAATGAACCTGTTTGGTTGTGGTGAGAAAATTGCTAATGACAATTAAAAAAACATAAATGAAGTGTTTATGACATTTTTAGTGTTAATAGTTTCATGTTGTCAAGAAACAGTAGAGGGATATAATTATTCTTAAACTTTTCTTTTGCTAACAGTTTTTCCTTCCAGGTTTATATTATGTATTTCCTAAGTTTTTATAGTAATCAGTTTTAATGAAATCAATTTTAACAAAGCATTCCCCAAACTAAAACACATCTTTTCTGACTTAATGAAAATTTTGTGTGCTGTGCTTCACTTGGTTACAGCATTGGGAACCGAGGTGATTGCTCAAATGTGTACTCTAGAGCAGGCAGCTGTGTGCTGTTTGTGCTTCTGAGTATATTTAAGGTCATCAATACAAGATTTACTTTCACCGAAAATTAGTCTGTCTCTAACTTGGGCTGTTTGTTGCATATTCCAAAAACTGCATGTGTTTCTGGCTTTTTTGAAATATATACCAGCTCACCTTGGTAACATTCTGCCAAAGAAATATGACTTAGAACTTATCAATGTACTTCTATTCTCCTTATCTTTATAATTGTCATACATAATTCTGGTGCTAAAACGTATGAGCTAAAGTTTTTTAACAGCCATTACAGGTTTCTCTTCTTAATTTTAGACCATGAAACACAGTATCCTGTTGAATATAGATTTTTTTTTTTCAATAGTAAAAATGATCCAGTGCAATAATTAGGAATATCTCCAAAACAAGCAGAAAATGAACTCTCACTTTATCTGAATTCTTCCCAATTAATTCTTCCTAAAGCAATTGCTGAAGTTCTGGGCTCAAAAGCAAGTATGTCCCGTGACAAGTACAAAACACTGCAGTGCTTGGAGTCAGCAGCTGTTAATTCCCTCATCAGTGTGGACTGGGATGGTACTTTGCTTCATGTTCTTCCCATGATGCAAATTAATTTTAAGGTAAGTTCAGAAAATATGCTCTGTTGATTAACATGCTGGCTAATATTAGTGTTGGCTCCTCCCAACCGGTGTTGTGTTTGGTGCTTTTTAACCTCTTGTCAGATCATATTTATTTAGTGAAGTTTTGACATGTAGCAATACCTTGAAAATGAAATGCAATTAAACATTAATGTCTGTCTCCAAACCTGATGCACAGAAGGTGTAATTTCACTTCAGTGTGGTGCTTGTACAGGATCAGATGAGGTGTGTTCAAAGGCTTGCTCCTTGTGGGCCTTTTTGAAGTAGATTTATGTCACGACTGCAGGATCTGTCCTATTAGCAATTAATATATTGTGACAGGGAGTCCCTGTTTTCAGGCTTTTACCTGATATGATGTAGGAAAAGAAAGGATTTTTCTGCCTGTGAGCCTCTGTTTTGAGGCAGCCTGTGAACATGGCCAACTTCCAGTCTGGTGGTTGATAAAAGGCCGTAGGGTTCTCCATGTTCCTCTCAGTTCAATTTCCATGTATTTATAGTCATATTTTCATCTTTTGAAAGGATATTTTCTCTCCTTTGGTGCTGAAGATTGACATAGAGATAAGGATACTTGAAAATAAATGAAAACTCCCACATAAATACACACATTGAATGAAAGACACCTCATATATACACAGCCTTTAGTTTTTCTACACAATCTTCTCTAATATCTGTAGCAAAAGCAAGTAAAACAGTTTATTTTAAGACACAATTTCATTTAAGTTGACTTCAAATGCACCTTTCAGTCCAGATTTGAGACATTAGGTTTTTGTTGTTGAGAGTTTTTGTGGGAATTTCTTAGTTAGGAAAGGTGACTGATTACTGGGAGGGGAAGAAAGGTTTTTAAATAGGCTACAAACTGCAGAGTGGCGTTAAGGCAAAGCAGCAGGCTCTAGATTAGAGGTAACCTGGAAGAAAAACAGCGGTCGCTTGCTCCATGTGAACTTGGATTGATTTTCCTGCTTTGCTGCAGGCCTGCTGTGCCATCTCAAGCAAATCCTTCAGAGCAAGATGGTATTTAGCTGCAGGACCAGGCAAGGTCAGAGTTGACCTAAAAAGGAGAAAAAGAGGTTATACAATTTGGATGGGAGCTGCAGGAGATAGAACTTAATATCTTAATGTTTTAATATTGTTCTATAACATTTTCCACTGTGTGGCAGAACATGAGTAATGGAAATCTGTATGGATTTATTTTTAATGCATTGTGTTGTCTTAAGCAGTAATGTATTTTGGTTTCTTCTGCAGATTTTTGGGTTGTTATGTGATTCTGCTGTCACGTGTCCCAGCGTGTGTGGCATACTCACATAGCTGGACTTTCAGGCAGAGGGTGTGATTGTACCACAAGGATGTCTAGACAGCCTTACTTCTCAGAGAGACGCAGTTGTATCGTGTGCAGGGTCTCATCTCTGAGAACAGGAGTGTTTAGACAAATGTACAGTGTGGCAGGACCCTGGAAAGGGCCAGGAAAGATTAAAGGCACAGCGATCTAGAGCAGCTAGAACAAGTCCAGAGGAGGCCACCAGGATGATCCGAGGGCTGGAGCACCTCTCCTATGAGGACAGGCTGAAAGAGTTGGGGCTGTTCAGCCTGGAGAAGAGAAGGCTCCAGGGAGACCTTCTAGCGGCCTTCCAGTACCTGAAGGGGCTACAAGAAAGCTGGGGAGGGACTTTTCATAAGGGCAGCTAATGACAAAACAAGGGGAAATGGCTTTAAACTGAAAGAGGGGAGGTTTAGATTAGATATTAGGAAGAAGTTCTTCACTGTGAGGGTGGTCAGACACTGGAACGGGTTGCCCAGAGAAGCTGTGGCTGCTCCTCCCTGGAAGTGTTTAAGGCCAGGCTGGATGAGGCTTTGAGCAACTTGGTCTAGTGGAAGGTGTCCCTGCTGATGGCAGGCGGGCTGGAACTGGGTGTTTAAGGTCCCTTCCAACCCAAACCATTCTATGATCTAGTGGGCAAGAGTCCTGGTGTAACAGTGACAGCCTTCTGTTCTGGGGCTTTGACTTCATGCCTGAGGTTGTTGGAATGTGGTCTCATGCTAGTTTTGTGTCCATAAGTTAGGCATGGTGGACTATGATCTAGTGGGCAAGAGTCCTGGTGTAACAGCCACGACCTTCTGTTCTGGGGCTTTAACTTCATGAATGAGGTTGTTGGAATGTGGTCTCGTGCTAGTTTTGTGTCCATGTAAGTTAGGCATGGTGGACTTCCAGAGTCCTAAACATCTGATGAGGCCGGTAGCTAGATGAATGCCTAGGTGGAATGTAGTGTCAGTGAAATGTGGAGAATGTTAAATGCTTAAAGATTGGTTCACATGACCATTTATGTGATTTCTCCTCCAGCAGAATCAGTAAACTTGATCTCAGAAAAGACAATATTTTTAAGAATAAATTATCTGATCACTTATAATCTTGTTCTAGTAAAAGAATGATGAACGATACCATCCTGTTTTTACAGACCATGTAAATGTTGATGTCATCATCTCCAGTTGTATGTTTTTGTCTTCTGCTGGATTATACAGATTTTGTCCTGAATTACTGGCTCATTACTGGGAAAGCTAGAATTTTTTAGTGATCCTCGTCACTAATGCTGATGCCTTTGTTATCTTCTGGGTCTCTCCTACTTCTTCTGTTGTATTTGATCCCTAGCCCTTCTCAAAAACACTATCCTACTTCTTAATTTGGGCTATTCTCCTGGTCATGTAGTTTTAGCTGCAAACCTACAAGTCCATGCAATCCTGATGGGAGTATTCTCAGTCAGAAGCTCAGGTTCAGTCCTTATTCAGTAAATTGAGCACATCTGTGATCTTGTCCATCAGTTGCCTTGTTAGTAGAATGCAAATAGCCAAACCCCGATGGTATGTTATAGTATCTCCTAGAAGCCCCAGTTTTATACCCCTTTTTTTTTTCCCCCCCTGTTATGTTCTTTACCAATAGGAAGAAAACAAACCTGTCTGTGCTCCAGGCTTGATAGTTTTAAGAACTGTAGCCTGATTCTTCTGCCTTTCATTACTGAAAAACTTCTCTGGTCTGTTTCTAGATAAAGAACCAAAAAAAGCTGCATAAGCCATGTGTGCTTGCTACAACTGGAGCCTAGTTTGCAGTAACTGTTGATAAAACTGTACTTGCCCAAAGAAAGCTTTCTTGTTTCCATACCTGACTGCTCCCAAGACTAAAATCTGGATGCCCACAGCCTTCCTTTTTACCCTGAGTAGAGAGGAAATGAGCTCATCGTTTTGAGATGCTCCTGCATACGCTTCTCTGTTCACAGGCTTTCTGCTGTGATCAGGGGCTTTGTTTTGTTTGTTTTTTTTCCCCCGATCATTGAGTCTCCAGATTGCTGGAAAATGTTACAGTTTTTAAAATAATTCTGGTATTTTTTTGCATGCATATTCAGGAACTTTAGAGGTATTTTTGCAGTTTGTGTTGTGAGTATTTTTTTCCTTTTGGTGGCATTGTCCAGCTGTTTAATTCCAGTTTTGGAGCTATCTGAAATCTGTTTTTCTCCATGTTGATTTTCAGGAGTAATATCAAGCATGGTTTTTTTTCATTTTGGAGTCAGCTGTTTTATTATTTGTAAACAACTAGCTTAGCTGTTCATGTATGATTTATAAACACTGCATTGATTCAGCAGAGATCATCATTCACCTGAAAGCCACGGGCGCTTAGAAAAGCACAGAAACCTCTCTCTGTCTTTCCCCTTGTTACCAGAGTTTTAAAGACTGGTGTTGGTACCTTCTGCCTAGAACTGAAGCAAACAAATACGAATAGTGGCCATAATTGTGTTAAATCCACCATGAAAAACAGGTGGAACGGTGAATGGTTCTTTGACAGGTTGAAAGATGATTTTTGCAAACCCGCAGCATCCTCAGAAGATGGGCTGTACCTCGATTTTCGCTTGGCCACAGACTCAGTGGCAGAGACAGATGGTGTGTTTCCCTTTCCTGCTTGAACTCTCTGCATCAGGATGTGCACGTGTCTGTACAAATGCAGCCACAGTGAAGGAAACTGCTACCTGGCTTAAATGTTTCCACCACTTTTTATCTTCAAACATATATTTGTATACTGAATTCTGGGGGATTTTCTATTGCTGCATCAGGAGTTGTGTCACTATCCTAAAAAATCTATCGAAGAAACAAGTTCAAATTTGAGAAGAAAGTGAATCTTTTCTGCTTTATGAATTCACAGGGATAGTCTCAATCTGTAGTTGGGATGAAAGCAGTCCCACACATAATATCAAATACCTGCCCAGGTGTCACCAGACTTGATGTATTTTATCCAGGCATTAATGACTGCTCCCTTGAAAAGAACCAGTACTTGAAATGAGTGTTTGGCTAAGATGTGTAAAGAGTAAAACTAGAAAAAACAAGCCATAGGGGGTCAGAGGCAGCAAAACTACAGTGGCAGAGGAGTGAGGTTTTTGTGGTGGTGTCTTACTGTTGGATTGGGTGGGTTCTTTTTGTTCATTTGGTTTTTGCTTTGTTTTGTTTTTTGTTCCCTATGTATAGCTCTGGCTTTCTTGAGGAGTTTATTTATTAGGAGTTGATATCAAACTTCCTTCAGGTGTTGCCTGGGTCAAAAGTGAGATGACAAGCTCTAGATTAATGTTCTGGATATTCTTAATGGATAACATCTACATAAATTAAAAAGATAACAAAAATAATTATTTTTTTAATGTGTGATTTTGAATTAAAATATTTATAAATATAAAACATGAATTGTTGCAATATTGGAAGTGTACTTGATACAGGTGTGGTACTCCACTGCAATACTTGGGTTTACTCAGTAAAATACAGGGGTTGCTGTGTGTGCTGATGAATAACTGTGCATAAGCCATTTGAGTTTCAGTGCTGGTAGGGGTGACTGTAAATTAACTATTTAATCATGTTGGAGTCTTCTCATAACTTGTGGAATCCGTTTGCATGTACTGCTGACTTCAGCAACACTGCAGATAACAGGCTGTCATGGCAATTGAAGGGGGATTTAGCAATGACATGTATTTTCCATTTTAAAAGGATGAAGGTTTAGAACAGTGTTGGCTAAAGCAGTAAAAGAAGAAATTGGAATGTGTATTTAAAGTGGACTTGTTAGAAATAAACACTGTAGTAATTTGTTTTATAGAAAGAGGCTGTCTTTTTTAAAATGCTTGCATGGTTCTTTTGCAACAATTTTTTTGTAACAGTCAAAAATTGAGACTTCTGCCAGTTAAATATGCAGTGGAAGATTTCCAGAGAATTGGGATCTTCAGGTTTGTGCACCCCTTTTATGTTGCTTAGCCCAGTAATGTCTTGTACTAGCACTGAGGGAAGATTTTGAAAAGTACCTGTGATTAAAATGCAAAAATAATTTAACAAAATTTGAAAGCAGGTTGGCATTGGTTAATATAATAATCATTGTATTTGAAGTACTGCATTTAGATTTCATTAGAGCAAGGGGAGCAAATACGTGAATTATTACCTTAAGCTGTGTTAATCTTCCTAATATGAAGTGTGAAGGAGAATTAGACTGCTACAGTTCTATCGTTAATCTAGTGAAGACTGAACATTTGCAGTGTATTAGCAGTCATGGCAGCCAGCCATAATCCCTGTTGCTGAATGAAACGCGTGCTGTGGTGGGGTGGTTTTGTTATTCTTCTATGTGCCCAGTTTGATGGATTTGGTATGTTGCTACTGGATATTGTACTGAAGGTGCTGTTAAATGTGGCAGTGTTGCAGGCAGCTTGCAGCTTCTCTGCTTAATAATTTTCAAGTAGCTGACAGGTTAGTTAGTGTTCTCTCCCAGCCTGTCTAGCCCCTTCTCCCCACCTTTTTTTAATCAGCCTTTATATCAGCAGCAGGAAATGTAAAATAAAGTTGGTAATTTTGAGTCCTATGATCTTGTAGGGTTTTTAAGTGGAGAATGTGCCTTTAAGATTTTATACAGGACACATGAAATTGATTTTCTATTTTTGGTTTGAAATAATACTGACTCACTTTATCCAGGAATAGGCTTGTACATTCCTTACACTTCCCTCTCATCCTTTTCCCCATCCTAGCTTAAATAACGTCAAAGGCTAACTCAGCCAGCTTGGAAACTTTTTCACAGAATCACAGAATGGTGGGGGTTGGAAGGAACCTCTGAAGATCACCTAGTCCAACCCCCTGCTAGAGCAGGATCACCTAGAGTAGATCACACAGGAACATGTCCAGGTGGGGTTTGAATGTCTCCAGAGATGGAGACTCCACAACCTCTCGGGCAGCCTGTCCCAGGGCTCTGTCACCCTCACAGTAAACAAGTATTTCCTTACATCTAGGTTGAACCTCCTGTTTTCCAGTTTGTGACCATTGCCCCTTTGTCCTGTCACTGGACACCACTGAGAAGTTAATTTTTATTTTTTTTAGAGTGAAGAGATGAGGTGGTTTCCTTCCAATCATGGATGGAGATGTGGTAAAGCATGGTTTAGTGCTCAGAGCAGTACTCAACTCGTGCACTGGCTTGCTGCATAGGTAGCTCACTTAATCCCTGAGCGCTTCTGGGCATAGGCAGGTGTCAGGATGTCAGTGGCACTTACTAACTGGATGATTTTGTACTGAAGCAGGCTTTCACCATCTTTTATCACCACTCAGCTGCAAGAGTGCTGACCTTCAGCTGAGGGGAGGAAATGAATGACTTAAGGGGCAAGATCTATAAGAAGATGTGATTATGCCTTATGTGTTCTGATCTGTAATGTGTAGCTGTTCATATGTGTTTATTCAGATGAAGCCATTGAGATCCTCATGTACAAGGTGCTCTGCAAATGTAAATATTTATCATTAATAATTTCAAGACAGTATTTAAAATAAAAAAGTTCTTATCAAAACATGAAAATAAAATTTATTCTAAAGTTTCACCACCGTTAAATCCCCAACCTTTAGGCTAATGAGTGATTTAGTAGGATTGAGTATGTGCTATATTTTTTTCACAGTGCTTGCAAGATCACTTGAATAAGTTTTCTGAGAATTTCGATCAAGTTCTGGCTTTCAAACCTACTGGGTGGACCTACTCTGATTCATGCCTTTCTCTGGTGGATATCAAGCCTCAGACAAGAGGAAGGATCACCATATATGGTATGAGAGTGGTAATGATTCAGTGCATTTAATTTTGTGCGGATGGCTTTCGTATTTCTATTCAGGAAGATCCTACTGTTCCTTTTAATCAATGCTTTTCCTGATAACTCATGGAGAAACTGAACAGATGGATCTCTCCAGGAGAGACCTGTGAATGAGTAACCAAGAACACTGTAAATGCAGATTTTTACATACGTTTTGCTTCTGTCCTCCTCTTGCAAATAAAGACTTTCATCTGATGCATCTAAAGATTTTAGGGGTGAAATCTTGGCCCGACTGATGCTGGTGGCAGTGTGGTTCTGGAGCCAAGATTTCATTCCATACCTCACTCAGTTGAGAGACTCTGGGTCTTCCTCTTCTTCTCAGTTCTTATCAGTGGGTGGAGTTGAATCCTCTAGAAGTTTTAAGATTCATTTAACCACCTGCTTGGTGTTGCTCAGTTTGCACTGGTGAATGATTTAGTAACTTAATGCAAGGTAATTTTTCCACAAGGAGGATCTGGGTTTTCATTTTACCTTAGCTATAAATGTTCAATCTCCAATATGAATTTTAAAAAACACTGTTTAAAGTATTTCCTAGCTGGAAAATTTGAAAAAGTATTTTGGCAAGAAGCTAAATAGACTGACAGATAGCTGTGATTTGTTTCATTTCAGGGATTCCTTACAGTGAACACAGCAGTTACCTGGAAATTAAGCGTTTTGTGCAATGGTTGAAGCCACAGAAAATCATCCCCACTGTAAATGTTGGAGACTGGAGAGCCAGAAGCTTGATGGAGAAGCATTTTAGAGACTGGATGATTGAGGGCAGTAGGCATAAATAAATATAAGGAAGAATGTATATTTCAAAAGAGGTGGGCTGCAATGGGAATTGGGAGTTGCTGTGAGCTTTAGTTAACTCCTTTTTCCACGGAGCTTTCTTTAGGAAGGACTAAGCTGCCATTCTGCTGAGAAAGCTGAATTTTGGAGGAGAAAAAAAAAAAAAAGGCACCTTGCTTTCTCATGTACCTACTACTTATTTTTTCCATAACTTAGTAACTTTTTTCAAATGCATATTTCAGGTTATTTTTATCTTACTTCTTTTTCCCATTCTTGATTATGGAGATGCCCAGATATATAATGCTGGGGGGGAAACTGCCTCCAGGTTAATAATTTCTGAAAAGAAGTTTTTGTAATAAAAGAGATGATGTTAAGCTTATGACACATGCTGTCAATTCAGGCTTCAGAGCAGCTCATTTCATGAGGCAGAACTGGCTATTGCGATTTAAATCTTACAAACTAAAGAGAGAGGATTGGCTTGGGCTCTTGCAGCATCTGTACTTTGGAAAATGATTTTTATAAAAGACATTGCTACCTACATTCTGCACAAGTTATTCTGAGTTTTTAAATATTTTTTTTAAATAAAGAACCTACATGAACCCTGTGTGTTCTTTCTGAGCAAAATGCATTTATTTTCAGTACTGTAGTTGCTAATCTGAGAAACCTGCACATAGTATCTTTGATGAATGTTCTCTGTATGTCGCTTGTATAAGGTTGCTCTTGCATCCTGGTAGTGCCAATTCTCAGCACGTGGTCACAGCACAGAAGTGGTTCCTCTCCCTATGGTCTCCTGCAGTGCAGTGGGCTTTGCAGGGTTGTATATACAGATTTGTTATTTGTATTTTGCAAAAACAAGAAAAGCAAATATTAGTACTGGCAGCAGAAAGGTAAGTTTCATTTTGTATTTTTCCCCTGAATCCTACCAGATTATCAGTGCTGCTTTTTCTGTATCTGCTTGGTATTTATGATACTGAAGTATGTGGTTGCATGCAGGCACACTAGTGTAATTATAAACACTAAAATAAAAAACATTCCACATTTCTAGGACTTAAAAAGTTAAATCATGCATAAAGAATTATCCTCCCAGAATAGTTTATCTGAAAACTTAAATGCCATTTTTTGTCAGGAAAACATTTCTTTAACCATCAATGTAAATATAAACAGATCCTTGTCTTTGAGTGACAAGCTCTGTAATGTGAAGTCACTTTGTTTTATTTCTGTCTTCTGAGAGAAATAACTGTGTTAAACTCTGATGGAAGAAAAGTTCTTACACTAATTCACAATTCTTTCATTGAAATACGGCATTGTTTTTGTTTTACCTAATGCATTATGATAGCTCTCCTTATCACAAGAACTGCTGATTGTCTTGGATTGGTATGCTCACTCCTAAGATTCCTCTCCTTTTTGGAGCAGGTGTGTGAAAAAGTATCTTTTACAGATACCCTTGGAAATACCGAACCTGAATTAACGTCTTGTACAAGTCAGAGCAAATTTGAGGATTCTGTTTGGCAGGCAAATGCTTCTACAGTTGAATCATTAAGGAATTATGCATGAGCTTTTGGCCTTCCAAGTCTTTTTCCTAACTGATTTTGCACCAAGTATGATGCAGGAGGGGCTGGAGTAAGCACCCCACAGTCAAAAATCTTAATCACGTGTCTGACACCCTCTGGCTTCCATAGTTGCATTTTCAAGAATGAATATTCCTGCT